CCGCCGCCCCGCCCCGAGTCCCGGTGGGCCAGCTTCGGACTTGGGGGGGAGGGGGGTAGTAGACTGTGGAGTAGGTTTGGGCTCAGCAAAATACAAAGCTGCCCGATTAGCTGGGACCCACTTTCCCTGCTGCGCCTCCCTCCACCACCACCAAGTCTCTAGCTTCCTGACAATTCCCTAAAAGCTGCATGCCCGAAGTTGTCCGGCTGTCCCTGGGTGCCTGGTCCTTCCACTCAAAGGTTAGGACGTTTATACTGAGGAGGGCAGACTCTTGGGTGAATGGAAGGGTGCGGCAAGATCGAGAAAGAGCTAAGGTAACCGGGCTCGGACCCTGGTCCGGCGTGCTACCTCGCCCAACGAACCGGGCTGAAAGATGAAGATCATCGTCTCTCTCCTACCGTCCCCTAGAGACCTTCTAACGAGCTGGGCTGGGACAAGTGAGCTGGTAACTGGAAAAGCGCGCTGAAAGTTTCACTTCGCAGCAAATGTCTATGCCACAAATACTACTCAGTAATTCTTGTCAGAGAACATGAAGAGACTGGCTCTCGGCAATTGTTAATCTTGGTAAAACCTAACTCATGCCCATCAAGTCCACTCTGACTCAGGGACCCTATAGGACAAAGTAGAACTGACTCATGATTCTTGGCATTATTACAGGTGAGTCTAACATGATGGGCTTAAACTCATTCAACAACAAACCCCCTGTGGGTTTCTGACACTGTGACACTGTAATTCTTTACAGGAGTAGAAAGCCTCATCTTTCTCCCACAGATCAGCTGGTGGTTTTGAACTGCTAACCTTGAAGTTTGCAGTTCAACAGGTCACCACTGTGCCACCAGGGCTCCTCTGACATGATGGGCTAATCCATCAGAATTATAGGGCAGCTCTAAATTCTAGGAGCTGGGGATTGAAGGGTGGCAGTCTCTGATTCACTCAGCTACTCTCCTGGGGATAAAAGAATGATTAAATCTCTCTTTTGACCACCACTCTGGAACCTAGGGACCAGAAGGGCTAGCTAGCCCCATGTAAGGTGCCCTGGTGCAAACCAGTAAATGCTCATCTGCTAACTGAATGGTTGGCACTTGGGACCCACCTGGCCAGTTTATCTCCTTGGGAGATAAACCCTGGTAATCTGCTTTAGTCACAAGCACCGCCCACAAAACCCTTATGGGGGCAGTTCTACTCTGTCACAAGGGTCACTGTGAGCCAGTATCGATGACTAACAAACACAAAGAGACACATTTTGCCAATGAGTTAAGACAGTACAGATCTCCAGAAATCAGACGGTCAATAGGTGGACAGGTGCACTCTGGGGGCAGGGGTGGGATGGGGGAGGGTCGGCAGGTTGCATGGCCCTATTCTGCAGCCAGTTGAGAGATGAACCTGAGAGGCAGGTCCAGAACAGTGAGACAGTGAGCAGTGGGAGGCAATGGAGAAATTCAAGGGCAGGGGCAAAGCCCAGAATGAAAGGCCCTGACTGGCCAGGAGAAGGGGGAAGTGAGAGGGGCCCTCCTGGGACTCAAAGCTCTGGAACTCCTGTCAGTATTCACCTGTTGCAAATTCACCAACATCCTTTTCTTGGTTTGTCCTTTGAGGGATCAAATTGGTGTCTTGGATTGCTGTCATTTGAAATTCACTTGGACAAGTGTTTAATTCTTCTTGATCACAATGCATGGCTAGTCTGCTTCATGCAAAATGTGCAGTGTCTCCCTCTACGATCTGTCAATTAGCTTGGGGCCTGGCCTACCAGCCCCTTTGAGAGTGATCCCAGGCAGGGTAGCGTCTGGCTCTGTTCCCTCCAAGAGGAGAGGGTGGCCAGGCTCTGTAAAGGCTCTGTCAGGGAGCAGCTGTCAGCCATCTTCCTGCAACATATGCCAGGTGTGAGCGTGGATTTCCCCGTGTGTGGGTCTGGGTGTATTATGTGAAGGTGATTATGAGCACGAGGGTCTCTGAGCTTGTTGGGGAGCATGCAGGAGAATGTGCAGCTATAAGTCATTTTGGTGACCAGAATTATCTAGAAGAATGGTTGTGGAGTTGTTCATTCCTCCCTTGCACTCAGGAAATGTCAGTCCATGGTGAAGGGATGAGACCTCTAGAGAGCCTGTAAGAGCACCATCGAGGGGCTCCCTAGAGCCTTCTAGTGAGGGTCTCCCTAGAGCCTTCTTCCTGTCCTTTGGTCTAAGTGCCTGCTGACGGAGGAAGCTGCCTTGGACCTTTCTCAATTCTGAACATTCCAAAAAAGAATTCCACATTTTTTTGAAAATAGTTTATTAGTCCATCATAGGGAAAGATACATGATCAATGCCTTCACTTAACACTAAAGAGTATCTTATATGTAAGGTGAAAAAAAATGCTGGAGAAATAATTCAATAATACAGCATTAACTAAATATAGACAAATAAATGAGTAGGTACCGATTACACTTGTCATGCATCAAGAGGAGGAAGGTTTTAAAGTGAGACTTAAAAAAAAGAAATTAAGGCATCAATGAAAGGCGATGAAGAGAGTTACCCTGTAAAGGCCAATAGACTCTCTTCTAATAAGAGTATTGCTACAAAGACACAACCCTAACACGTCCAGAATGACCCCAGAGCCCAAGTCATAGCCAATGCTGCCGACGACGGCTTTCCAGCCAAGTGTGAGTTACAGGCAGGTGCCAGGTTTACTGCTGACTTGCTTTTCAGGAACAACTTTCCACTCAACCGAAAACAAAAGCACACCCACGGCTGTCACGTCAATTGTGTCTTACAGGGACCCTGAGGACAGAGTAGGAACCCTAGTGACGTAGTGGTTACAAGAGGGACTGCTACCTGCCACGTGAGCGATTGCCAACCGCCAGCTGCTGGACCCCCAGAGTTTCAGCCACATCGTTCTCTTCAAGAGCAGCTGGTGGGTTCAAACCACCTACCTCTCAACGAGTGCTTTAACCAGTGTCACCAGGGCTCCCGTCCACCAACCTAATGGGTTACAAATGGTCTCATTTGCAGTGATTTCATTTAGACCAGAACCTAGGTGCCTGTTAAACAAGAACATGAAAAGTGACTACGGAGTTTAATGCTAAGAGCCCACGGTTAAAACAGCCATTTAACCCAAGGCAGGTTTCTTTTTCTTTTTTCTCTCTCCTTAAAAAAAAAAAATCAAACCAGCAAAATAAAACCAGGCTTTTGACCTTCAGAACAATGATGAAACATATACAGTGGTGCTAGCCACAGCAATGCAGAACACTACAGAAATAGTACAAGTGAGAATGCCATCCTTAATGAGCTACAAACCCCACATTAATAATCTTTAGTCTTCTCGGAGGCTGGCTGAAAGAGGGGAGGCGGCGACGATGTAGCTGCGGATGTCAAACGTGAGTGACATCTGAGTGTAATAAACAGATGCTTCTAGGGTCTGAGAAGTGGCAACTCTGCTGAGACATTTCACCGGTAAAAAAAAGCAGAAGAAAGGAGGAGGAGGGGGCGCTGGGAGAGGAAAGATAGACTGGTTATTTCCAATTTGGCCCAGAAGCCAGAGTTAACCCTTGATGTGCTGATCCATTTTCAAGACCAGAATCCCAGGGAATAAACCCCACAGTTCTAGGATCCTGTGGACAAAACTCATACACATGGGGTTGTTTCCGGAGAGGAAACAGTAAGAAGTCAAGCTGTGTCTCTGTGTGGCTGGTCAACGGAAAAGGACTTCAAGATTGGATTTGAAGAGAAAAGCAAAATGTGTTCGGGCCTCCCTGGAAACACCCAGGGAGGGCTGATGGACAGTGAGTGTCTGGGGGCAGATCCAGGGGTTCTGCTTACTCTACCCCACCCCCACCCCACTGTTTCAGGCAAACAAAGTAGGAAGGGGCTAGGATGTAACTTCTTAAAACCAGCTTCCCTTCTCTCATCCATAAACTAGAAGGAAAGTTCTAGAACCACTTCCATCCAGCAATCCCACCTCCCTGCAAAGAAGGGAGGGGGTCATTTTACCCTGAGCCTGGGCCCTGGGGTTGAGGTGCGACACATATTCTCCTTCCAGTCTTAAAGGGCCCCTCTCAGTGACTGCAGTTCCTCACACCACCGGCTCTGGCTCTGAGATGGGGGAGACTGTGGACGACGTGGTGGCCTGGGCATGGGGCGTGCAGAGGCATTGCAAGAAGACAGGACGCAGGACCACCAGAGATGTGGACACAGCAGGAGTCATGCTGTGGCCTTGAAGGGACATGAGGTAGTCATGTTGTTAGGGAGGACGAGGACATGGAACCTAGGCAGGGGAACTGGTGGCAAAGTGGGAGAGGTGTGAGATAGAGAGAGGCACTGCAGAGAAGGCAGGACAGGGGAGGCAGAGCGACAGAGGAGGGAGGGCAAGTTCATTGGGAAACAGCAGACCAAGTAGCAAAGGGGAGGGGAGAGGAAGGGAGATGAGCAGATTTTCAAAACCAGGCACTTCACACATTACAAAATGAGACAGATGCAGAGTTGCTTCTGAGGGCGCCAGGGTCACCCCCTGGATTGGAGCAGTAGGGGCAGGGGAGGCGATGCAGGTGAGATGTTGGGCAGTGAGAACCTTCGTGCACTCAGTCCAGCCAGCCAGGAAATGGGCTGGGGTGTCTTGTCAGACAGGGCACTAGAGACACTCTCAGAGTGTGTAATACAAGGTTCCTCAATGGATGTGGGGTGGGGTAGGGGCGGGGGGCTGGGCTGGGGCTGTCTCCTCTGGACCGTGTCCTGACCCGAGCATCAATTAGGCCCAAGTGGCCAGTGCTTGGGCCCAGGCTCCACAGCTCACAAGCCAGCACACGTGCCCTACACGTGTGCACATCACATATAGCTATGTCTCATGTCACATAAGATAGCAAAGACTGTGGCAGGTGTAAAAGATCCATATCTTCTTCTCCTCACAGTCAAGTGCCCCAGAAGACTCCAAAGGGTTAGCATCTACAGGGACACATGTGCCAAGTGTGGCTACTGATGCCATTTCCCCTGGTCCACACCAGCCTGCTCCAAACTGCAGAGCTAAGCAGAGGACGAGACCGGGGCTCTGGGCAGGGCTGGGCTGGCTGCTGGAGGACAAGGGGTCTTCAGGGGACAGCTGTTCCCAGGAGCATCCTCCAGAGCTGCACTGGCAGGGAATTCTGGGTAGAGGCAGGAGGCAGTGGCTGCCTCTGGCAGGCAGGTAAGTCTGTCTGACCCAATAGCTGCCTGCTCACAGCCTCCCTGCTCCTGGTCCAGCCAGTCTGCTGCTTGCCGCAGACCTGAGACCCCCGAGGTGAGACTAGGAGGGTCCAGAGGCAGGGCAGCCTCAGGTTCCAAGTCTTGAAGCTGGAGCTCTGGATTCCCTTTGGACGCACTGAAGTCAGAGTGCACGATGACTTCCGCTTCCACCTGGTTCCTGTAGACGGAGGGTGGCTTCTTCCTTCCATTTCCCTGGTCAGAGCAGAAAACAATGCAAAATCACTATCGATGAGAGTTATGCATCCAACCCAAGGAAGCACACATTCCCACACGCTGGCTTGCCCGCTACCCTCTAACCTGGTGGCTTCTAGGCTAGAGGCCTCTCCCCAGGGAAAAGAACTCTCAGGGGTCTTCAGAGCACTCACCAGCCATCGGTTCCCTTCCCTCTCCCTTCCCACCCAAGACGAAAATGCCAAGCCCATGACATGATTCCAACTCAGTGACCCTGCAGGTCAGAGGGGAACCGCCTCCACGGGTCTCTAAGGCCGTAAACCATCTGAAAGCAGATGGCTGCATTTTTCCCCTCAGGAGTGGCTGGTGGGTTTGACCTTGTTAACAACCAAGTGCTTAACCACTGTGCCACCACCACCAGAAACACCTATACCAGTTGCCTTCAGATGGAGCAGTGGTTCTCGACCTTCCTCAGGCCGCGACCCTTTCATACAGTTCCTCATGTGCTGCTGACCCCCCAACCATAACATTATTTTCGTAGCTACTTCATCACTGTCATTTTTCTACCGTTATGAATCGGGCGACCCCTGTGAAAGGGTTATTATAAAGGAGGCACGACCCACAAGTTGAGAACCGCTGAGACAGAGGTTTAAAAAAACAGCTTTATTGGTATATAATTTATATAGCATGAAATTCAATAGTTCAATCATGCCTTCAGATTGATTTTGACTCAGCAACTCTATAAAGTTTTCAATGCCTGTTTTTTTCTGTTTGTTTGTTTTTTTAGTAAATGCTTTTATTGGGGGCTCTTATAGTTCTCATTACAATCCATCCATCCATCCATCCATTCTGTCAAGCACATTTGTACATTTGTTGCCATCATCATTCTCAGAACATTTTCTTTCTACTTGAGCCCTTGGTATCAGCTCCTCATTCATAAACCCTGGATAAATTATAAATTATTCTTCCCCTCCTCCCTCATAGCCCCTTGATAGATTATAAATTGTTATTATTTTCATATCTCACACCAACTGCTATCTCCCTTCCCCCATGTTTTCTGTTGTTCTTCCCCCCTGGAGACATGTGTATGGTTATGTATCGATCCTTATGATCAGTTCCTCCTTTCTCCCTTCCTCCCCACCTCTTTCCTCTACCCATCTGGTATCACTATTCCCACTCCTGTGCCTGGATTCTGTGTGTGGTGAGCACCTATCTCTTACCTATACCTGTGTACATGCTCCGGTCTAGTCTGAATTGAGAAGCCACACTGGGGTCATGGTAGTGGGGGGTGAGGAAGCCTCAAGGAACCAGAGGAATATAGTGTGCTTCATCGATACTTCACTGCACCCTGGTTGACTCATCCCCTCCCTGTAGCCCCTCTGAGGGGGGATTGTTCTATTGTCTACAGATGGGTTTTGGGTCTCTGCTCCAAGCCCCCTCGTTCTCAACAATATGTTTTTGTTTGTTTGTTTGTTATGTGTCTTCTGATGCCCCTTACCCGGTCCCGATGACTCCTCATGATCGCACCAGCGGAGCGCTTCTTCCATGTGGACATGTTGCTACTCTGCTGAACGGCAGCTTGTGTAACTTCAAGCCTTTAAGACCCCAGACACTATATCTTTTAATAGCTGGGCACCATCTTCCTTCTTTACCACATTTGCTTATACACCTGTTTTATCTTCAGTGATTGTGTCGGGAGGGTGAACATCTCAGACTGCTGATTTGTTAGAACAAGTGTTCTTGTATTGAGGGAGGGTATGAACAGAGGCCCAAAATCCGTCCACCTCAGTGTATTGTGTATAAATCTATGTACATAGGCCAGCACCTACTTTTGTGGATTAATGTATTTACATGTGTACGCTGCTATGTTTGTACCTCTATCCATTGCTTTGCTTCCTAGGTCCCTCCTCTGTTGCCTTTTCCCTTCCTCCTGCCCCACCCTCACTTTCCCCTTATTCCTGCCTCTTGGTACCTCCTCTTAGTTAGTTTGCTGTTGCTCCAACACTGCCCCTCCCATCCCTATCTCCCCCTTGTTATTGACTCCAACACCCTAGTTGTTCCCCTGTCTGTGGTGCTGCCTGCCCATCGCCCCCGTTCCCCACCGCCCACGGCTCTCTTCTCGGGCACGCTTCCCATACCTGTCTTATATAGGGAGGCACACCGACTATGACATAGCCCAAACTGTTTGTTTGTTTGTCAAAGTCAATTGCCAAGTCTTTCTTCATTCATCCCAGGATACTGACCTGGATGGCATCGTAGACCAGAGCCTGCAGCAATAACGTCTGCCCAGTTCCGGCAGGGGGCAAGAGGGCTCGAGTCAGAGAGGGCATGGGGCCCGCCTGGGGTAGGTCACAGCCTGCCCAGGACCCTGCCCAGCGCGGCCCTCCAGGCTGACCCCAAGAAATCTGTATGGGGGCAGAAAGAAGGATGGGCATTAAGGGGGATAGACCGGCCCTGACTGGGGTTGAAAAACAGACAGGGAAGTGTGTGGGGAAGACTGCGCCATTGCGCGGCCCTGGCTAGTCCCTCCCAGCGGCCTTTGCCCAAGGCTCAGGGGAGGAGCCCAGAGCAGACGGGGTCAGTAGGGCAGGATCTGGAGATGGAAAAGTCCTCCCACGGGAAAGCAAAGCAAACCCGGCAGTAGATACCGGAGCTGCCAAGCACGGAGCAGCATCCTTCCGCTCTGCGGCAGGGAGCGAGTAAGGGGAGCACTCAGAGGTGCCAGGGTCAAAGTAGGACGCCATGCGCAACCTCTGATGGCTTGGCGGGGTCTGCCCTGCAGGTCTGGCCTCACCCTGGTCCTGCTCCCTCTTGACCACAGCCAAGCTGACCAGTCCTTTCGCCCCCTGTTGGGCGGAACCTTGGAGGTCTGCCCCTGCTCCTGGGATGGGAGAGCTGGGTTTTCTAGCCTCCTGAGCCATCCACCATCCACTGGGCCCCCCTCTGTAAAACTCAGGCTGATGCAGTCTGCCAGGGGATAGAGACCCATCTGCTTCTTGCCCTGCCGACTCCTTCATGCCCTGCTCTTTGGGCAGTTGGCCCAGGACCGGGAGGGGGCGGGGTGACAAGCTGTGCTCTGGCGCCGCCTGGTGTCCTACTTGGGAATGAGCGAGCCACCGTGCGGGACTCTAACCTGGCAAGAGACTGACCACCCAGGCTCAGGTTCACCTTTCTCTTGGAGTGAGCCCGGCAGTCCGAAACACTGCCACCCGTGAGGCTGTGCACTTCAGCTCTGTCCTCGATGTCTGAAGGTGGTGGGGACCAGTCTTGAGGACGGGGATGGACAAGTGACTCCAGCTCATGGGCAGCTGGGGGGCTGGGAGGGCCGAGGCCGGCTCTGGAATACAGCGCTGGGTTCCCTGCCGTGGTGGTGGAGGACAGGCCTGGCAGGGCCTCCCTAGGAGAGAGGGGAGAAGGGCTCAGTGGTTACAGGGTGAGGGGTTGCAGGTGTGCCTGGGATCCAGTCATGGCTCTGGGTGGGTGGGTTCCCACCCTCTCTGGGACTCAGTTTCCTTATTGGTGCAAAGAATACACAACCCAATGCTTGCTTACTCCTCGTGTCCCTGCAGGCACCCGGCGGCGGCTTTCCAAAGAAGAGGAAGAAAGACAGACAGGTCAGGCTGTCTTTGCTGAGAGGGTGGGCTGGGGGGCTCACCTCCCCAATCGAATGAGGACCTCACCCCTGTCCTCCATCCTCAGAGTCCTGACTGCCATGCTGAAGGGAAGGCATGGCCCCTGGCCCATCCACCCACCTGCTCATCTTTTCAGCCCTTGCCTGGGAATCTCCCTGCTGCGGTCAGTGTCCCCCTGCCCACCTGTGGGGGCTGCGGCGCAGGCCGGCACACATGCAGGCCAGGAGGCAGAGGAGGCCCAGACAGACACCCACGATGATGCCCGTGACTGAGTGCACGTCCAGGGAGTCTGGTGAGCGAGAGGAAGGGGACAGGGCAGTCAGGGACAGGGAGACTCACAGTTTCCTGAGAAGGACAAGTCCCCCTCCCTCCTCCCACTGTCCTCTCGGCCTCCATCCAGAAGTCGTGGCCTTCCCCCACCCCACTGGCCTTTGGGTGGAACACACAGGTGTGAGCAGTGCCACAGGGCTCCACGCTCACCAGGGCCCCAAATGTGGCTGAATGTGCTGCTATCAGCATCCTGAAAGTCTAATTCCTATTTTTAAAAGGGGGCCCAGCATTTTCATTCTGTACCTTATGCAGCTGGTCCTGCGGGCAGCCTCCAGCCTCCCATAAAGCTGCTTACCTTACTAAGCTGATCCTCCAGGCAGATCCATTTTCCAGAGAAACTGGGACCCTTTTAAGAAGGTCGCCGAACCATTCTC